ATATATGTATAACACACCAAATTTTACCATTTCAACCATTTTTAAGTTTAAAGTCTTAAACTACCTTTAGCACAATCCATCTCCAGAAATTTTTTATTCTATTACACAGTAACTCTTTTCACACTTTTCCCAGCCCCTGGAACCACCATTCTATTTTCTCCATGAATTTGGCTACTCTAAGCATCTTATGTAAGTGGAATTGTATAATTTTTGTCCATCTGTGCCTGGATTATTACACTGAGCATGTTTTCCAGTTTCATCAGTGTTATGGCATGTGTTAGAATTTCCTTCCTTTTTTGAGGCTGAGTATTGTCTTGTATGTACATGCTACATTTTATTCATCCACTTAGCTATCAGTGGACATTTGAGTTGTTTTAAGCTTTTGGCTGTTGTGAATAATATTGCTATGAACATCAGTGTACAAATATTTCTGAGTCCCTGTTTTCAGTTATTTTGGATATACATCTAAAAGTGAATTATTGTTTAATCTTTCAAGAAAATGGTGTAATGTTTTCCACAGTGGCTATATACCATTTTACATATCCATAAGCAAGGCTCAAGTTCCAATTTCTCCAAATCTTTACAACTCTTGTTATTTTCTTTTTATTTCTTAAATAATCATCATCCTGATAGGTATAGAGTGGTAGTTCCTTGTGATTTAGATTTGCATTTCCTTATGACTGGTAACATTGATCATCTTTTCTTATGCTCATTGACATTTTCATATCTTCTTTGGAAAATATGTCTACTCAAGTCTTTTGACAATGTTTTAATTGGGTCATTTGGAATTTGTTTGGAAGCCTGTAGTTGAGTTGTAGGTGTTCTTCATATATTCTGAATATTAGTCTCTTATCAATTAGTGAATGTTTTGTCCCATGCCATGAATTGTCTATTTTATTGATAGTATCCTTTTATGCACAAAAGCAACTCTAAACTTTTTTGTTCATATGTAAAGAACTTATACTTTGTCTAATGCTCTAGAGCTAGGGCCCTCTTCTGGTAAATATCATCCTTTTGTCAACAAGGATAGTCTCTCATCAATTTCTATTATTGTGACTTACTGTGGTGTAGTTTAAACTGATCTGTGCTGTTTGCCTTGACACGGTCCTCGGGTATCTAGAGAAAAGGGGTCCATGCTGGAAATTTATGCTGTTGGCCTAGATACTAGCTGGCCCTGAATGTTGGCAGCTCTATCAAAAGTGCCATTTTTCCTCAATATGCTTGTGTCTTCATTTGAGTTTCCCAAAAGCAGAAACTGAAACTAATTTAAATACAATAAGTGAATTTGCAGGCTCTTCACAGAAAATACAATGAGAAGGTATGGAGGTAAGCTGCAGAAATGAGAAAAGCTAGAGAAGATGAGCAGGTTGTCACTGGTGTTTTGGCACTTAGTCCCACTAGGGGACATCATGATAGACTGGTGGAACATGCCTCAGATTTGTTCCAGTGAGAAGTAGGGAAGCTAGAGTATTTACCAACTTTTGGTTGAAAACCTCTTTTGGGTGCCTTATCTCCTGGGCATTTCTATACTTGTGGCTTGTCCCTCTTCTGATCAAGCACATGCCAGCAGAGAACATCCACAAGGTAGAAACACAGGTGTTTGAGTTAGATGCTTTCATTTTGAATCATAACTGTCTACAGAGGCTGCAAATGAGCTTCAGGATGAGACAAAGGACTATGGGTAGGACAATAACCACTCCATTACAATTGGTTTCTAGTAGGTATGGCCTTTGCAAATGGTTACTAAGGACCATGAGTAGGTTAAGGAAGGAAAAGAGATGGTAATGCACTTTAGAGGAAGATGGCAGCCCAAATGGGCCCTGAATGGAGAAGTAGATGACAGGCGGCTACGGTTAGGAAGCAGAGCACTTGGTGATATGAGGCAGGGAGCCCTGGGGGTTATGATAGTGGCTTTTTGGAGTCTAAAGAGATTTTGGCTCATGGAGCTCTACAAACCCTGGACAGGAGAGAGGTCATCTGAAGGAGTCTTCTGGATAGACCAGAAGGTTTTTGTGGTTTCCTGAGGAGTTTCAGGGGAAAGTAAGGTTTAGACCATATCCTCCCTAATTTTGAGGCCAAGAACATTCTGTCCTTTGTAGGTGGGGAGATTTTTCCTTTTGAGAGATCTGATGTTCTCAATAGAGGACTGACAGTTTTGCAGGCTGGTTCTGCTGCTGAATGTAATGAACCCCCAGGGTGAATGGAGTCGTATTTGCGAACGAGATACTATGTGTCTCATTGGACCCAATAGCAGAGAGAGGTACAGCCCTCAGAACAGGTGGCCATGTATAACTAGCACTGCAGGCAGTGGAGTAAGGCAGAGTTACCCAATAGTGGCCTCACACTATAATCCCAGTATCTATAATCCCAGACATACAATGTTAACTAAAAAAAGACATTCTGATTTTTTGTTTTTGTTTTTGTTTTTGGCTGGGGAGAGTAGTAGAGATTGAATGCAGAGGTGCTTAACAACTGGGCTACATTCCCAGCCCGTTTTTTTTTTTTTTAAGTTTTTAATTTTAAGACAGTGTCTTGCTAAGTTGCTTAAGGCCTCCCTATGTTGCTGAGGCTGGCTTTGAACTTGTGATCTTCCTGCCTCAGTCTCCAAGCTGCTGGGACTATAAGGCATGTACCATGGTGCCTGGCTTGGAAAAAAGACATTCTGGAACTAAAATTATGGGGCTGTAATTCTAAAAAAGTCAGGGTGGGGTACTGTTGTAAACCAACTTGTGACTTGGAAAGTTTCTTAGAAAAAATATTCCAAAACAAAAAGCAAAAATATAAAGATTGAAGTTATGAAGTAAAAGTTAAAAACTAAGAAGACAGATTCAAAGTGCAGCATTTTGGAAGGAGAAAATGGAAGTCAATTCATATTCATCTTAAGAATTGATGAAAAATGACTGTATAATTAAAGTGATTGTAGGAAAATGGAATTATTGATGATAAAATGAAAATGAATGAACTAAAACATAGTAAAAAGAATTAATAAAAATCTGATTATTTGAAATGTCCAATAAAATCAGTAAACAATTGAACACAGAGATACATATATATTCCTGCCATGCATTTGAGCCCGGGGAGTTCCAGCCTCCCAACTGTGAGCTAAATAAATCTCCTTGCTTTATGAAGTGAAAGAGAAAAAAAAATCAGTAAACTTTTTAAACTATTGAAATATGTGTGTGTATGTTCACACACACACACACACACACACACATACACACACACTGAATGAGAAAAGAAACAGTCATAGATATATGTATATGTAAGATTAAAATAATTGTAAAAGAATAGCAAGATTAACATATGCTACCATATGTCAACAAATATGAAAAGTTAACAGATCTGAGGATGTAGCTCAGCAGTAAGGTGCTTGCCTTGCTTGCTTGAGGCTGTGTGTTCAATCCTGTTTACCGCACACATAGACAAACTCATACAAACTTAACAGAAACAAATGATTTCTCATTGAAAGGTTAGGGGAATAAAGGTGTGTTAAAAGCAGATTAAGAAGTAATTTCTCTCAATGGGAAGTTTTTTTAAAAACAAAAATTAGAGCTGTTAAAAAAATCCAGATAACACAATGGTAAAAAAAGTGATTTCTCTGATCACAAAGGAATGAAATTAGAAATTAATAACAGAAAAAGGAAAATTTATAAATATATGGAAACTGAACAGTATATTCGTACATAACCAATGGACCAAAAAGAAATCCCAAGGAAATTAGAAAATATTTTGAAATGAATCAAAATGAAGACATAGGGCCAGACATATATACAACTCAATAGTAGAGCACTTGCCTAGTATGGGTTTAGTGCCCAGCACCATAAAAAGTTAAAGAAAATTGAAGATACAACCTACCAAAGCTTGTGGGATGCAACTAAGGCAGCATTTATAAGGGAAATTAATAGCTACAAATGTCTACATTTTTAAAAAAAGAAAAGAAAAGAAAACCACAAGCTGATGAACTAAAACAGTGGAAAAAGAAGAGCAAATTAAACTCAAAACAAGTAGAAAGAAGGAAAGAATAAGGATAAGAGCAGAAATCAATGCTATGGAGAATGGGGCAGGAAAGGAGAAAATTCACAGAAAATAACTTTAAGT